TGCCAGTATCAGAAATGAATAGGAAATATCACTACAAACATCAAAAGAATAAGGGAATACAATGAACAACTCTCTCTCTCTCTCTATATATATATACACATATAAGTCTGACAACTCAGATGAAAATACAAACTATTGGAATGTATTTTCATCTAAGTTGTCAGCTTTATGTATATAGAGTATTTTAATAGCTGTGTAACTATTAAAGAAATTGAACTTATAATTTTGAAACTCTCCCCACCCCCCACAAAAAGAAATCTCCAATCCCAAATGATTCCACTGAAGAATTCCAAATGTAGAATTCTTTGTATCAAATGTACAAAGAAAAAACACCAATTCTACACAATCTCTTCCAGAAAATTGAAGAGAAGGGAACACTTTCCAAATCGTCTTATTAAACTAGTATTACCCTGATACAAATATCAGAAAAAAATAGAAAAATAGAAAAAAAGAAAACAGCAAACTAATATCCCTCAAGAATATAGACACAAAAATTCTTAACAAGTTATTAGCAGATAAAATTCAGAAATATATCATTAGATCAGTTATGGTACCAAAAAAATTCAGAAATACATAAGAATTATACACCATAACCGAGTGGGGTTTATTCCAAAGATGCATAGTCCATTCAAATATTTGAAAATCAACGTAATCCATCACATTAACAAGCTATTATTTCATAACTACATATGAATCAACAATTACCATAAATAAAAATTTTAATTAAAAAAAAAATGAATGAATGAAGTTGCCCCCACGAAAAAATAGAAGAAATAGGTCTACTATGGCGGTTTTCTACATACAGCCTCAGAAATATCTAGAGAGTTTATTAAAAGGAAATTCCTTAGGCCCACCTCAAATGTGGGTCTAACAGGATTAATTCTGCAAGGTTGTCTGTGATTCTGAGAGTTAGCCAAGTGTGGCAACCAGACGGCTAGAACACAAATGACAATTAAAGGGTCATACGAGGGATGCCAGGAGAAAATATTTCACTGTGTTAAGAGATGAAGGAAGGAATTCACAAAGATGAGAAAGATGCCAAGAATCAGCAAAACATTGGGCCCTAGAGGTTCAGGAAATACCAAATCATCATGGTTGTTCTTAGAAAATAATTCATTTTTCTCTACAATACTTGTTACTGAAAACCACACTATGTTATTTTTGTTGTTTTCCATCACCCCTATTAAGATGAAGCTCCACAAAGCAATGATTTTTGTCTGCTTCTTGCTGCTCCATCCCCAGGCCTCGAACAGTTCCTGACATGTAGCAGGTACTCAGTCAGTCAATGAATGAATAATAAGAATAAGAGGAAAAAAATTTGAGAGGTAGGTTGGAGCCAAAGCAACAACAACAAAAAGACCCCCAAACAACTGCCTAAGAAGCTTGGACTCAACTAGAGCCTTAAAATTCAATGACAGGAGTATATAAACTGAAACCCAAGAGTAGCTCTTTTAAAGCTCCATTACTTTAAATGCCTAGTCTCTGTGCCATGCACCATGTAAGGTACCATATACACATGATCTTTACTCTTCTACTACCCATAAAGCGTAAAAGAAATCAGTGACTCATCCAAAGTCGCTCAACTAAGAAAGTGTGCAGGCAGGATTTGACCCCAGATCTGCCCAGTGCTGAAATAGCTTTCTATTTCAATTGTATCAACACTACCTAGTACACATTAACAAAGATCATTACTAACATTTGTTTCATAAACTTCAGTATAAAATTCTCTTTCCAAAGAATTGTTTGACAAATGAAGGTTTCTCAATAACCCATGAAAAGTCAAGTACCTTGGTTGATGTCTGGTCATATTGTGCTGTTGTCTTCACTAGTTCATCCCTGCTTTTGTTCAAAATTTTCTCTTTTTCAATTAATTCTACTTTTGCTTTCTCCAGCTGGAGTTGTAGTTCTTGAAATTTATTCACTTGGCCTTTCATTTCTTTTTCTTGTCCTTGTAGATGTAATTCCAATTCATTAATCTTGCTTCTTAGCTCTTAAACCATAAACAAAAAACACACTCCACTTTATATACTTTTCACAAAGTATTCAGAATTTATCATTCACCTTACACTACAAATATAAACAATTTACATTAAGTACAGAAGTTACTTTAATTGGATTTAATTTCAATGGTTAGTTTCTATTATCACTTATATTCAAATACTCTATAGAAAGCAGGAGAAACAGATTTTTTTTATGTTTTCACAGAGAAAAATAGGGAGAAAAGTATTTTCTAAAATCACGAATAGCATCTTACCATGACATACAACTCCCTTGGTTAAAACTACCACTTGGTTTTGTACACCGGCATACTAAGATTTGTTTTATGCCCTTAATTAATGGAAATTCGTGCTAAGAAGTGAAAAGTTCACCTTTCTATATTCTCTGATAGCTTCACCTAGAGTAAAGATCAAGATAGTATAAACCTCCTATCCTACCAAAATTAATAATCTTTTTTCCATTTCTTTCCCACATACACACAATACTGGTTCCAATGGCATTGGCAGTGTGACAGCTCTCACCAGTGAACACTGACATTGATTTCCAATATATCACAGCACTGGAAATTATCATATTTTACAGAGCAGATTCCAGAACAACACCTGGTCCCCTTGGCTGTCAGCTGCAGCATGGTGCAGCAGCCAAGGTTACAGGTTTGCTCCCATATGGACAACCTGGCAGTGCAGAGCAAAGCTGTTCTGGAGACACATGCCATACCTCTGGCCAAAACTGGTCAGGCCACAGGCTTGTTCCATGGCAATGAAAGAAGTCCGATGAGAAGTGTGAGCAGTGCAAACTGTAACCAACCTACTCGTCTAGCTTCCACAAAGATAAGTCAAAACCTCTCACCCTACTTTTGAAGGATTCAGGGCACCAGCTCTTCAACACACACACACAAAAAAAGTACATTCCGAAACAGTGAAGTCTTTTATCATTATCAAAAAAACAGCATTTCACATTAGTCAAAACCTCTCACCCTACTTTTGAAGGATTCAGGGCACCAGCTCTTCAACACACACACAAAAAAAGTACATTCCGAAACAGTGAAGTCTTTTATCATTATCAAAAAAACAGCATTTCACATCATCAGTCTGGTATGTTGACCACTGATATGTCTAACAAAACACAGAAGCACTTCCTAGGATTAAAAGTATCTTGAAACACCTCTACAATAATCTCAGGAAAACTTATTTTAAACTTAATTTAGCTCAAGAAGTTACCTTGATTCTGGGCTTTTAACTGATCCAAAGGATGAGAACTGCTAGAATTATCACAGAAACTGCTACTAGCATCTCTTTTCCCTGTTTGCAAACTGGATCTACTCGGAGTCACCTCTTGTTCTCCAAAAAACTGAGATGTGGAGAAATCTCTTCTAATTGGAGTTCTTTGAGAATTAGATGAAATTCGACTTGGGGTCTTCTCCTGTTGCCATGAGAACACAGAGGATGAAGCCTGATGCCTAGCAATGTCTCGGTGATTCATGGTGGTTTGGGGAATAGCCTGGCTTGTTTTCTGCAAAAGTAAAAACTCTTTACAGTCCTTTGGAAATCTCAATATTCAAGACTAATTTCAGATAGAACATAAAGTCATAATACCAAGAAGTGAACACTCTCTCTGCATACCAAGAAAGAACGGTCATCAAGTCAAAGGACCCATTAAGTCCGAATACCCAGTGATGGGACTTTTTAATGATCAGACTTCTCAGCACTGAAGGGGTAAGTCACTAGCATGTGAGGCCCAGCCTATTTAACATGGGCTAAATCTTAGTATTTATTCTGCATCCCTCATATATTCCATTAAACACACGTGAGTATTCACTGCCATTTGAATTCCAAACTTGGCTTTCCTTTGCTGTCCTTAGTCATCTCCCCCTGTAGCTGTGTGCAAAGAGAAGCAAAATCAAATATTAGCCTAAGAATGCTTTCCAAAATCTCACTTTTCACCATATCATTCCCCCCAAAAATGTCATATAGGGTGATTCATATTATATAATATACATTTGTGGATTATCTACTGCTTTGAATTGTTCTTTCTATTCTTCTCTCTGCCTCCATTCTGACAAATATCAAGACTTGGCTGTAGATGCTGCATTAAATTTTTTATAGCAAGCACTTTTCTTGCCATAGAAAGAGGTTTTTTGTTTATGGAGACTCACATTCTCCATAAAACAATTCTAGGAATCAATGTCAAAGACAGAATTGGTCCCAATGATTGAACTGGATGATAAGCACATGATATTTCTAGGACAAACCAGAGAATTATTATTTAATTTTTATTCATCTTGATAAGCAATACCTTTGGTACATATCAGAATCCTGGTGACCTCAGAATGAGGGTTAAAGGTATGAAAAGAATAAAAATTGTTAAAGCTCTAATAGGTAATTTTTGATCCTTAATATTTAAGGTACCTACTTGTAAATTCAACCTTAAACTGTCTGAATTGTACCACCCCCTCAAGTTCTTATGTTTAGTGGAAATGCACCATTAGGTGCCAAAGTGGGATGTCTTTTAGCAAGTAACATCATGGGAACAGAAACAATAGAGGTAAAATTCAATAGATAACACATATTTTCAATCAATACATACCACATATTTTCAGGGTCAGTCCCTGAACTAGAAGCAGTGGTTTTTAGAAACCTGCATTTTGTTTATTTTGTTGACAAACAAATTTCTTCACCCACCTCTCTGCTAGTTTATATCAAAATGGAGTTTAAAACCATTGTCAGCAGCTATTTAAAAGAATGGAGGAAACTGTGTTGACAACATCCTCCTCTGAAATAAAGATTCCACAAGTAGCGATCCTCAAACCCCATGTCCCTGGTAGTAAGTGAAGAGATGGAGGTAGCTGAGGAGTTGTAGAAGGACCGTACACGAAGCAATGCTTCCAGGTGACAAGCCAGCCAGTGAGCACCAGGAATAATCCTCTGGTCCCACTGTCTCCAAACATGCTCCTCAACACTAGATCTTAATCGGGAAAAATTATATGGCTATGGCTTCTGAAAAATTCCATGAACATTTAACATTTGGGGATAAACTAACTTCTCACTCACTCCTACATACTTTTAAAACTAAAAGGTAATCACCACCAATGAGCCAGGAACTTTTTCTCAGTATAAGAAAACTATGTCAGCTCTATTTAAATAAGATTTTTCTCTAACCTTGTTCTATCCTATACCAAAGTAGTTCTGTAACTGCATACTCTATTATAGGGCCCATAATTAACTTACCTTTGCCTGCAAGGATTTAACCTCAGCCTCTAATCTTTTTCGTTCTTCAACTTCTTTATCATATTTTTCTTTTAAATCTTCATACTTGGAACCTAAATACAGATGATGAAATACAGTTTTATTTCTATCATTGATTTCATGAAGAAATGCACAGATCAGCAATGATGATGACAATCTAGAAATGAATATCTTAGTACACCAAGTAGAAAGAACATTTTGGTTAGGACAATAGATTGATCAAAATTTTGATCAAATAACTCAAATATCAAAATACGTGGAGACATAGGTGTTTTGAATAGTCTGAAATTGAATTTCTTTTATAACATACCAACCAAAGAAGGATAAAGTAGAAAGTTTAAAGGTTTAACCCAGGGACCCAACATAGTTCAACAGATATGCAAATGGATACGTAGCAAGTAGTTGCATTTTTTAAACACCCAAATTAAAGTTTAATTCAAAGTTGAATTAATTCATTTCTTTCACAGAATTAAAATCTCAATGAAAGAGCTGTTCATACCAAGAAAAAAAATCTTTACCGCTATAACAGTGAGTTGGTGTTAGTGGAGTTGTAAAAATCTCTTGTGGTGTGTTGCATGAATTCAGAGAGACATCTGCCAACTGTGCTGCTCGTTGGCTTCTTTCAAGTCCAGATTTACACCTGTTAGAAAAGGACCCAAGAGGCCGACAAATCAGTTAGAGCAAAGGCTACCAATGCCAACATATTCCCAGAGAATAAACTTAAAAATAAACCCACCCTCTAAGAATTCTTAATTCAATCACCCCGCAGACATCTAATAAGAACTAACTTATGTGCCAGACATAAATGGAGTCCCCTGTCTTTAAAGAAACTCAGTCTAGTTAGAGAAATATAAACCAATAATTCCAAGGTTATAAAAGCTATAATGAAAATCTGTCATAACCACTACAACAGCAAAGAGATGAAGAGTTGGAGATACAGTCCCAACAAAGTTTGTATTCTAAGCCAAAGAAAGACACAAAGATATAAAAGAACCCAGAACTGCAGAAACACAGAAGGAAAGTGATGTTGTTGAAGCATGAGCTCAAACCACAAGAATGGATGACATTACTTAGGATATTTACTCATTTCAAAAACACAGACTTGATATAGATCACAGACAATATGACATTTTTAAGACACAGACATAAAAATTAAGTTAATACAATGCATCTAGAAAAAATATGGCTAAAAACAGCTACAAAGGAATGGGGAATGTAAGTTATGTGTTGTATACGTGCACAGAATATCCCTATAATTCAAGTAAGTTCTGAACACCTTTTAGAACCACACAATGTAAGTTAATACAATGCATCTAGAAAAAATATGGCTAAAAACAGCTACAAAGGAATGGGGAATATAAGTTATGTGTTGTATACGTGCACAGAATATCCCTATAATTCAAGTAAGTTCTGAACACCTTTTAGAACCACACAATCTATATTAATAAAAGGCTCAATTCTTGGATATCTCTAATGTCTCAGATTTTAGCTGAACATAAGAAATGAAATAAACACCCTATCAGAATGGCTAATGGTATGCACCGTCTCTTCGCCATGGCACATCACTACAAGCAGTGAGAGAACAAAGTAGTGAGGAAAGTGACTCAGTGCCCCCAGCTCCACCTACCTCCAAAGTTCACTGAAAAGGAAGAGGCAACATAGCTGACAGAAACAATACTAAGCCTCAACAAATCAATTCATAACATTGCAGCTTCCAGCAGGTAACAGCACTAACTGACAGAAATGTTCCATTAGCATTAAAAAAGCAACAAGAAACACGCAAAATTAATTTTCACATTTTATTTAAATTGATATCTTCAACATACCATTTCAACTGTAATCAATACAAAAATCATTAATGAGATGGCTTTACATTTTTTGTACTAAATTTTCAGAATCAGTATGCATTGTATAATTACAGCACATATCTGTTTGCACCAGACACATCTCAAGTGCTCAACAGCCTCATGTAGCCAGTAGCTACCATACCAGACAGCACAGGGCTATAGACACCAAAGGTGTAAAAAGATTGGTGATTCTAGAGATGAATTTTGAAGAATGTTGCAAAACCAGTGTTTCTTTTCCCTCTCAGATTCATGTCTTACCTGCTTTTCCCAATCCTTTCATTAAAAAAAAAAGTTATTTTAAATATTAAATAAAAATATAGCCTATTATTTTTATAAACCTTTTGTTTCACCCTCTCCTGCAAAAAAAAATAAAACACTACCACCAAAAAAGCACTAAGCTGTTTTCTACTAGGTTATATATATGACACTGCCAGTATCAACAGTTTTGACACACATTCCAGATGGTTCAACCTAATTCGNCAAAAAAAGTACATTCCGAAACAGTGAAGTCTTTTATCATTATCAAAAAAACAGCATTTCACATTAGTCTGGTATGTTGACCACTGATATGTCTAACAAAACACAGAAGCACTTCCTAGGATTAAAAGTATCTTGAAACACCTCTACAATAATCTCAGGAAAACTTATTTTAAACTTAATTTAGCTCAAGAAGTTACCTTGATTCTGGGCTTTTAACTGATCCAAAGGATGAGAACTGCTAGAATTATCACAGAAACTGCTACTAGCATCTCTTTTCCCTGTTTGCAAACTGGATCTACTCGGAGTCACCTCTTGTTCTCCAAAAAACTGAGATGTGGAGAAATCTCTTCTAATTGGAGTTCTTTGAGAATTAGATGAAATTCGACTTGGGGTCTTCTCCTGTTGCCATGAGAACACAGAGGATGAAGCCTGATGCCTAGCAATGTCTCGGTGATTCATGGTGGTTTGGGGAATAGCCTGGCTTGTTTTCTGCAAAAGTAAAAACTCTTTACAGTCCTTTGGAAATCTCAATATTCAAGACTATTTAATTTCAGATAGAACATAAAGTCATAATACCAAGAAGTGAACACTCTCTCTGCATACCAAGAAAGAACGGTCATCAAGTCAAAGGACCCATTAAGTCCGAATACCCAGTGATGGGACTTTTTAATGATCAGACTTCTCAGCACTGAAGGGGTAAGTCACTAGCATGTGAGGCCCAGCCTATTTAACATGGGCTAAATCTTAGTATTTATTCTGCATCCCTCATATATTCCATTAAACACACGTGAGTATTCACTGCCATTTGAATTCCAAACTTGGCTTTCCTTTGCTGTCCTTAGTCATCTCCCCCTGTAGCTGTGTGCAAAGAGAAGCAAAATCAAATATTAGCCTAAGAATGCTTTCCAAAATCTCACTTTTCACCATATCATTCCCCCCAAAAATGTCATATAGGGTGATTCATATTATATAATATACATTTGTGGATTATCTACTGCTTTGAATTGTTCTTTCTATTCTTCTCTCTGCCTCCATTCTGACAAATATCAAGACTTGGCTGTAGATGCTGCATTAAATTTTTTATAGCAAGCACTTTTCTTGCCATAGAAAGAGGTTTTTTGTTTATGGAGACTCACATTCTCCATAAAACAATTCTAGGAATCAATGTCAAAGACAGAATTGGTCCCAATGATTGAACTGGATGATAAGCACATGATATTTCTAGGACAAACCAGAGAATTATTATTTAATTTTTATTCATCTTGATAAGCAATACCTTTGGTACATATCAGAATCCTGGTGACCTCAGAATGAGGGTTAAAGGTATGAAAAGAATAAAAATTGTTAAAGCTCTAATAGGTAATTTTTGATCCTTAATATTTAAGGTACCTACTTGTAAATTCAACCTTAAACTGTCTGAATTGTACCACCCCCTCAAGTTCTTATGTTTAGTGGAAATGCACCATTAGGTGCCAAAGTGGGATGTCTTTTAGCAAGTAACATCATGGGAACAGAAACAATAGAGGTAAAATTCAATAGATAACACATATTTTCAATCAATACATACCACATATTTTCAGGGTCAGTCCCTGAACTAGAAGCAGTGGTTTTTAGAAACCTGCATTTTGTTTATTTTGTTGACAAACAAATTTCTTCACCCACCTCTCTGCTAGTTTATATCAAAATGGAGTTTAAAACCATTGTCAGCAGCTATTTAAAAGAATGGAGGAAACTGTGTTGACAACATCCTCCTCTGAAATAAAGATTCCACAAGTAGCGATCCTCAAACCCCATGTCCCTGGTAGTAAGTGAAGAGATGGAGGTAGCTGAGGAGTTGTAGAAGGACCGTACACGAAGCAATGCTTCCAGGTGACAAGCCAGCCAGTGAGCACCAGGAATAATCCTCTGGTCCCACTGTCTCCAAACATGCTCCTCAACACTAGATCTTAATCGGGAAAAATTATATGGCTATGGCTTCTGAAAAATTCCATGAACATTTAACATTTGGGGATAAACTAACTTCTCACTCACTCCTACATACTTTTAAAACTAAAAGGTAATCACCACCAATGAGCCAGGAACTTTTTCTCAGTATAAGAAAACTATGTCAGCTCTATTTAAATAAGATTTTTCTCTAACCTTGTTCTATCCTATACCAAAGTAGTTCTGTAACTGCATACTCTATTATAGGGCCCATAATTAACTTACCTTTGCCTGCAAGGATTTAACCTCAGCCTCTAATCTTTTTCGTTCTTCAACTTCTTTATCATATTTTTCTTTTAAATCTTCATACTTGGAACCTAAATACAGATGATGAAATACAGTTTTATTTCTATCATTGATTTCATGAAGAAATGCACAGATCAGCAATGATGATGACAATCTAGAAATGAATATCTTAGTACACCAAGTAGAAAGAACATTTTGGTTAGGACAATAGATTGATCAAAATTTTGATCAAATAACTCAAATATCAAAATACGTGGAGACATAGGTGTTTTGAATAGTCTGAAATTGAATTTCTTTTATAACATACCAACCAAAGAAGGATAAAGTAGAAAGTTTAAAGGTTTAACCCAGGGACCCAACATAGTTCAACAGATATGCAAATGGATACGTAGCAAGTAGTTGCATTTTTTAAACACCCAAATTAAAGTTTAATTCAAAGTTGAATTAATTCATTTCTTTCACAGAATTAAAATCTCAATGAAAGAGCTGTTCATACCAAGAAAAAAAATCTTTACCGCTATAACAGTGAGTTGGTGTTAGTGGAGTTGTAAAAATCTCTTGTGGTGTGTTGCATGAATTCAGAGAGACATCTGCCAACTGTGCTGCTCGTTGGCTTCTTTCAAGTCCAGATTTACACCTGTTAGAAAAGGACCCAAGAGGCCGACAAATCAGTTAGAGCAAAGGCTACCAATGCCAACATATTCCCAGAGAATAAACTTAAAAATAAACCCACCCTCTAAGAATTCTTAATTCAATCACCCCGCAGACATCTAATAAGAACTAACTTATGTGCCAGACATAAATGGAGTCCCCTGTCTTTAAAGAAACTCAGTCTAGTTAGAGAAATATAAACCAATAATTCCAAGGTTATAAAAGCTATAATGAAAATCTGTCATAACCACTACAACAGCAAAGAGATGAAGAGTTGGAGATACAGTCCCAACAAAGTTTGTATTCTAAGCCAAAGAAAGACACAAAGATATAAAAGAACCCAGAACTGCAGAAACACAGAAGGAAAGTGATGTTGTTGAAGCATGAGCTCAAACCACAAGAATGGATGACATTACTTAGGATATTTACTCATTTCAAAAACACAGACTTGATATAGATCACAGACAATATGACATTTTTAAGACACAGACATAAAAATTAAGTTAATACAATGCATCTAGAAAAAATATGGCTAAAAACAGCTACAAAGGAATGGGGAATGTAAGTTATGTGTTGTATACGTGCACAGAATATCCCTATAATTCAAGTAAGTTCTGAACACCTTTTAGAACCACACAATGTATATTAATAAAAGGCTCAATTCTTGGATATCTCTAATGTCTCAGATTTTAGCTGAACATAAGAAATGAAATAAACACCCTATCAGAATGGCTAATGGTATGCACGGTCTCTTCGCCATGGCACATCACTACAAGCAGTGAGAGAACAAAGTAGTGAGGAAAGTGACTCAGTGCCCCCAGCTCCACCTACCTCCGAAGTTCACTGAAAAGGAAGAGGCAACATAGCTGACAGAAACAATACTAAGCCTCAACAAATCAATTCATAACATTGCAGCTTCCAGCAGGTAACAGCACTATCTGACAGAAATGTTCCATTAGCATTAAAAAGCAACAAGAAACACGCAAAATTAATTTTCACATTTTATTTAACTTGATATCTTCAACATACCATTTCAACTGTAATCAATACAAAAATCATTAATGAGATGGCTTTACATTTTTTGTACTAAATTTTCAGAATCAGTATGCATTGTATAATTACAGCACATATCTGTTTGCACCAGACACATCTCAAGTGCTCAACAGCCTCATGTAGCCAGTAGCTACCATACCAGACAGCACAGGGCTATAGACACCAAAGGTGTAAAAAGATTGGTGATTCTAGAGATGAATTTTGAAGAATGTTGCAAAACCAGTGTTTCTTTTCCCTCTCAGATTCATGTCTTACCTGCTTTTCCCAATCCTTTCATTAAAAAAAAAAGTTATTTTAAATATTAAATAAAAATATAGCCTATTATTTTTATAAACCTTTTGTTTCACCCTCTCCTGCAAAAAAAAATAAAACACTACCACCAAAAAAGCACTAAGCTGTTTTCTACTAGGTTATATATATGACACTGCCAGTATCAACAGTTTTGACACACATTCCAGATGGTTCAACCTAATTCGTTGGAGACCTTCCTGAAACCTCACCTGACAGAGAAAATAAATTTCTGTACTGCATTTGAAGGTTACCAGTGAAAATTTGAAAACTCTGTTCAGTAGTTTTTGTACTCCTAGCAATTTTTATAATATAGAAATAGATAATCTTAAGAGTTTTTTAGTCTATAATTTATAAACTTTCATAAACATCTGCATCCACATCATAGATATGGGATATCCTAACCCCATGATGATGACAATGACAACTAATAACAGCTGATAACAACAAAAATAATAGTACTAACACTCAACAGTTGCTACATGTCTTGCACAGTCCTGAGCACTCTCTATCTGCAGGTATTGCTACTAAATGGCACTCTGCAACGAAATATAGAGATGTATACAAAAGCATCTTTTCCTAAAATATTAAAAATACAAACATTTCTGCCTCAATTAAAACCAGTATGTATTTCTAAAACCAGCATCCCAAAATGCACTTTCCAAGAAATAATTATTCTAGCACACAGAGGTGTGATTCATCCTTCCCTAGCATTTGTTTTACAGAGCTACAGTCTACCTTCCATTCATTTATTCATTAAATACTTGAAGGCATACAATGGTCAGAATACAGTGATGAACAGGACAGACAAGGTCCTGTTCTCATGGAATTTTGGATGGTAGACAATAAACAAGAAAACAAAAACTCAATGAGATAGGAGTTTATTTTTTACTATAACATGCAACTTATATAGATAGCCACCTTCCTACATAGACGAAAAATCTTTAAAAAATATTTCTGTTCATATAAATTTTATCTTCACAGAAAGACAAACAGAAGCAATTTTTAAATGTTTAACATTCAAAAATATTTTTGATATGTAAGTAGAATTCAGATTATTGTAGATATTGCAGGAAAAAAATTTCTTGGTATCAAGATATTACTTACAAAGGGAGAAATAGTAACCTTATAGTGGAGGAACTCAGCCAACACCGTAACTTCAACAACATCAAGGTTATAAGTAATATTATATCATATACCTTCTGATATATAATGCACAGAGAAAGACCATCACTACTTCTGCAGTACTCTTACCAAAACTTCATAACCCCAATCTGACTTAGTGGTTCTCAACCCAAGATGATTTTGCCCTCCCAAAGGACACTTGGCAACGCAGGGAGACATTTTTGATTGTCACAACTTAGGGGTGGGATAGATGCTATTGGTATCTAATGGTTATAAGCCAAGAATACTGTTAACTATCCTACAACACACAGGTCAGCCCTCCATAACAAAAAATAATCCAGTCCAAAATGTCAATGGTGCCGTCGAGAAACCCTGATCTAACCAGTGAAAAAACATAAGCCAAACCCAAACTGAGGGCCATTCTACAAAATAACAGACCAGCACTCTTTAAAAACCAAGTTCACAAAAGATAAGGAACCATCACCTTCTAGAAGAGACTAAGAAAACATCAACTAAATGCAATGTGGAATCCTGCATCAGATCCTAGAACAGAAAAAGGACATTACTGGAAAAAGCTGTAATTCTAATAAAGTCTATAGTTAGTAGTACAGAATCAATGTTATTTCCAGGGCTGGCAATTGTATTTTGGTTATATGAGAGTTAACAACCAAAGAATCCGGGTGAAGAAAATACAAGAATTCTCTGTACTATTTTTGCAACTTTTCTGTAAGTCTAAAGTTATTTCAAAATAAAATTTTCTAAAAAATTTCTGGGTGTGCATTTGTGGACTTGACACTGAGGCAATTTGCTGAAGTCCTTGCAGCTGTTTTCACTCCTTGTTATTTTGACAAAATTCCACTGTTAGAACAAGACGAAACCATTTATAAGCTATCAACGTTAAGACGCCATTAAATTTACTTTAACAATTCTAATTGTTTGGGGGATTTTTTTTAATGGAATAGTAATAAACAACTTTTTATTGATTAAATATGGCAAAGAAACAGGCAAATTGAGTTCACAATGCTTAAAATGGAAGGCAGGGCTCCCTGTAGGAACCTCTTCCTGACCTCCCTTCCCTCCCTCTCCAGCTTAGATTCCGTGGACACTACCACTCTCTTCCCAGTATCTTCAATTATCCCACCATACTCTATCGCATCTTGCTGGCCAAAAACAATCCTAAATCAACCCCCCTGTTCGCTTTCTCTGCACTTTACATCCAAGATGCTAAAGACGGAGAAAAAAAAAATCACAACCCTATAGATCGATCCCACTACAAATCCCTGATCTCCAACCTCCACTGGGCTTTTATACTTTTATAAAGTATAAAGGATTGCTCCTCAATCCTTTTATACTTTTATAATTCCCTAGTTCTCCCTCATTCTCTGCAACAGCTC